ATATCAAATTTCTAGTTAAACATAAAAAGAACCACTTTTAAGGCTTGAAGGATCTAATTTTAAATAATGAGGGCGTCACAAATTCCACTGTTCATAACATATGTTATAACTCATACTGCTGTCAACCATATGTCAAAAACAATCACAGGTTTTTGCCCTGGAGATTCTGATTAGGGTTAATCATTCTAGATGCCTAGACCAACTTTGGGTTGGTTTACACACTAAAAGTGCATCATGGAATCAACCTTACTATAGCTCAATTTCACAAAGCTCCAAATAATATGAGTATATAAATCATATGAGGCAGGAGAATCCCATGAGAATGATCAATTCTATATCTTTCTGGAATTTTTTCTCATTGTTGTCATTTCAGTAATAGTAGGTTTCTTAATGCATATAATTATTAAATTAAAGTCTCCTCAACCGTGTAAGTAGCCAATGTGTTTGATGACGATGCATCAAACATAGGCAAAGGATAGCCTATGTAAAAACTTCACTTATATTCAGGAACTCTACACCACGTAGATTCCAAACATAATCCAATGAGTATGGTTTATTGTTAAATAAATCCAACTCTAATTTTTACCTTTAATGTAGGTTTCACTGCAATTTTACTTATTATACAAACAAATGGAGCTGTAACAAACATGAAAAAGATAGAAAATGTGAGAAGGTCCCAAACTGGTATGGTTCTCTAGAGTGAGGTGTTACTAAAACGTAAGATCAAAACATAAGAGCGTTTGCTCAGTGCTGGAAATTACCTTTTATACCCACAGAACAGATGATTTTCCAGAAAATATTAGAGTGCGCAGAAATGGACAAATTAACTCTAGCCTTAAAAAACAAAGAGTCCTCAATATCTTATAATAACTGGAATCCCTGGTATAATTGGTTAAATCAAAGATAGACCGTTTATAAGAGAAACTTTGTGGAGGGTAACTTAAGTATAGGTACCGATAAGATGTGCGTATACGATACAATTTAAGAAGAATAGATCTTGCAGACTGTCAAAAAGGATATTGTTTTTTAAAATGTTTCTTTTTCATTTCCTTCTCTTTTTTCTTCCCTTTTTCTTCCTTTTTACATCTCTCTCTTTCTCTCTTTCTTCCTTTTTTTGGCCTCCGCCAAGGCCTTGTTTTTTGTGTATATATTGTAGATCTGTAAAATTAATAAAATTTATTTTTTAAAAAAAACATAAGATTTGTGGTGGGATAGACAAAAGGCCATTATAATCAACATTCCATCAGGATTATAAGGTATATGCTTTTGAGACATGAATGCTATATTCCACATTAACAAGTATTGAGGGACATGTCTCAGAAATTGAAGGTTACACATAGGTATCTTGATAACTACTGACAACCTTATATTGTCTAATCCTTTTCAAATTTGTCATCTTCAACAGCCTTTACTACTACTAATCTCTAATTCTATTGTTTAACTATGATCTGTGTAAAAAGCTATTTACTGAATATAGATTTGTGGAATGTTCCCAGATTCTAGTATTAGGAAACAAGAGTGGGGGGAGAATCCCTTTTCCTTATTCATATGCTTAATTTTATATGTCCCCGCATGTTCTTTTTAAAACATTTTGTTTTCTAAAAAAGAATGCTAAAAAGGCCCTAAATTGGCAACCTTTCCTAAGAGGGAAATTGTTACAGCCTCTTGATCAGATTGACTGTGCCATTATCAACCCTGCCATGTCCTTTTTGATATGGAAACTTGGTTATAGTTCATTCATTGCTGAAATAAACTCTAAACTAGGGACTTCCTCTTTCCACTTTTCTATCCTTTTTTTCTTCTAGAGAGCTCTGTGTCATTGTTTTAAAAGTTGGTTCTTATATCTGTTTACTGGTCAGCACTTGTGAAACATTTTAACTGCTGTAGGACTATCATCAAGAGTTCCTAAATTATTCTACATTAGTAAGGGAACTACTTTTGATTATACAAAATAAGATTTTTCCTGAAGATTGTATTGCCTTACTCCACCTATTATTCCAAATGGAGTAAGTTCCATGCAGATGAGGTCTTTCTGAACTCTGTTGATGTCACCAGGGCTAAATGGTATTATTCCAGGGGTGTCAAACTCGCATCGTCACAGCGTCATCACATGATGTATTGGGATTTCCCCCCCTTTGCTAAGCCGGGTGGGGGAGTGACCAGCATGTAATGCATCTGGCCTGCAGGCCATGGATTTGACAGCCCTGGTCTATTCTACCACACTACTTTCTAGTGTACAGAATCTGTCTATAAATCAGAATAGTATATTGTATTATATCTATATTACAAGAGAGCCCAGATTCATTTCCTGCCACTTCAGAGCAGAGATGGACTCAGTACTTTCTGACGTCTGGAGAAATGTTGTCAATGCTTTATTTCACATATTATAAAACAATATATTTTGTTAAATCATGGTAAGCTGGTTTTGCATATAAAGCCAAACTAAAATTCAACCAACAAGAGTTAACAGTACTGAGATAAATGGACCAAATACTGTGACTCAGTACAAAGTCTGTGTGTTTCCAGTAACATGTGCAGAATGTTTAAAATGAAAAAGATACATAGATATATAGCAAGACAACTATATCATACAGTTGGTCTACCAAAGGTACCTAAGTTGCTTTGATTAATCTAATGCACAGGTATACATTTATTCTATAAGAGTTGCACACTATATTGGCATTATACAAAGAACACTTCAGTGCATTGATTGGTACTTCAGTGTCTTTATACTTCAGAACAGTACAGGTAGTTTTCCACTTGCAACCATTTATTTAGTGACCATTTGAAATTACAACAGCACTGAAAAAAGTGACTTACTATTGGTTTTCCCATTTATCAATACATGCCAAGTGCTTGAAATTTGATCACATGGGGATGCTGTAACACTTATCACTGTTGCAGCATCCCCATGTGATCAAATTTCAAGCCCTTGGCATGTATTTCAAACCTTTATTGTCAATGCACAACATGTGTACAATGACCATTTGCATTTTATGACTAGCTTCTGACAAGCAAAGTATTGTATTATATCTTCTAATGTCAAACTTTCTATGTTTTGAATTTTAATGCATATCTACCCAAGGCAGCATGACTAGTAACAACTGAATATAGGAGCTGTAATCCAAAACTTTGAGGGGACACAGTGGCTCAGTGGCTAAGACAATGAGCTTGTCAATCAGAAAGGCAGTTCAGCAGTTCGAACCCTTAGCGCGCATAACAGAGTGAGCTCCCGTTACTTGTCCAAGCTTCTGCCAACCTAATAGTTTGAAAGCATGTAAAAATGCAAGTAGAAAAATAGGGACAACTTTCGTGTGAAGATAACCGCATTCCGTGGACCTTCGGCATTTAGTCATGCTGGGCACATGACCACGGAGACCTCTTCGGACAGCTCTGGCTGTTCAGTTTTGTAACAAAGATGAGCACCGCCTCCTAGAATTGGAAACAATTTATAGGCACCAGGTTCCTTACCAATAAGAACAGTGCAACTGGGTGATCCTATTAACTAATATAGCTGCAATCAGGGATTGTTTCATATAAAAGGCTGTAGTATTAATTAATCAGGCCAAAGGGACATGTTAATATTGACATATTTTCCTAAGTTGTATGAAAATTAAGCTATAAGGTAATGTTTATTTATTTGGAAGCAAACTTTAATGTGTTCTATGAACTTCCAAGTAAACAAAGGTAGTGCTTGCTGAATAAAAATAATCACATTTATATATGATTGTACACATATATTTAAAATTTAGTGAAATTTCAGTGAAATTTGCTTCCAAGATTTTATATATATAACACATGCTTTTTAAATTTTTGAATCTAATATTCCATACATTTCTGTGGCTTTTCACCATACACATTTTATTCAAGCATAAATTGTATGCACAAACTGATCAAGCAACTCTTTTCTTTATGCGCAGCTAATAGAGTATGCTTGGTAGCACAGGAATGTGTCACAGTAATGCAGAGAGCTGTAATGATGTCAGCTTGTTATTTACTTTCCAAATCTGAATGACTGAGCAAGGCGAAAGGAGAACCAATCAGCCACAATGTGACCCTGCAGGCAGAAAAAACACAGCACTCTCACCAGTAAGAGGTTGGGGGATGGGAGGCACATGTAACCAGGGTAATGTTGCATCATGTATTTGCACTGCTTTTTGCACAGCTTCCTTTTTCTTTTTTTGTGTGAAATGACTGTTGTAATTCAGAAAGAAGCTCTGCCAGCCTAGAGAAAAATAAGAAAAGGAGGATTAATTCAAGACAAAGAACATTGAGATCTATGTCTAGGGCTATGTGGAATAATACCTATTCTACTGAATAAGAGTTATAGAGATAGTGTAAGTCTATATTTAAATACATTATAATTATATCATGGCAGCACTGGTTTTTATAAAGTATATAGGGTATATAAATATTATGGGTTGTTCACCCACTTTTAACTGAATTTCCAAATATAAAATACTGAATTTGCAAAAGCATTGTATTCTGATGTCCATTAGTAGTTTACATTTTACTTGACACAAAATTATTTGACTTGTAGAAACTGGATGTAAATAAAAGTATAAGATTCTTCATATAAATTTAGCTGCTTAAAAAGCAGTCTTAATGTTATATCTACACACAAATACAGTCGAATAGTGTATTACATTATTCCTATTCATCTAAGAAAAATCTGGTAATATAAATCAATATTATGACTGTCTCCATCCTATGATACATCTTCTCTTATTAAAAGGAGAGTGAAAATAAGATTGATAAGTAACACTGGTTCATCTATTCTAGGAGATTGTGTAAACATAGATTTTACTACCCTTCCATCTATTTTTTTCTGACTCCACGGGATTAAGAATTCATTTGAACAGTAGAAGGCTGGTGGGGTGGGCAAGAATTCCTTTTTGGTGGAACGAAACATTTCAATTACCCTTAAAAGTGACTAAGGAGTTATTTCAGGACACTGCATTTGGAAGAGAAATTCATTTGATGGTCGGGGTAGGTGTTGATGTTTTTATTGGTTGCAAATCATAAAGGCAGAGCTGCTGATAAACCAACCTACCCCCTACCCCCCCCCCTCTCTCTCCGGGTTTCTTCCTTGAAGATCAATATGCTGATTTCCACCAGCAGCCCCGGAGAGCACTTAGTCAGCCGGGTTCTGCCAGCCTCTGCCTGCTGCTTCATCTCTCGTAGAGAGTTGCAGCAGGGAGAGGCTGGCCCCGGACTTCCACATGCACTTCGCTCTCCGAGCACATTAACTGGCTCACGAAGTCATGAGCGTGAGCAGCAGCACCACCACCTGACCGCCATTCTGCACCCCGAAACTTTCCGTTTTCCTGCCCGCCGTTCTCTCGGACTTCCTTTTGATCCCCTCCGCCACCGGAGTGGATGTGGTGCTAGCGGTGGAGGTAGAGCAGGAGGAGGAAGGGCGGGAGTGGGGGTGGGGGAGAAGAGCTACGAGGGCTGCTTGAGATTTACAATCTGCCTTCACGATCTCGGGACCTCAGGGTTGGAAAGAAGAGTTCCACCATGGGCTGCAAGTGAAAGGAACTTGGGCTTACTCGGGGCTTTGGCAGAAGTTGAGACTTTCCTCGGGGGCTTCCTGGAGGGCGAGCCGGGCCTTTCTACACGCGGAGGGAGGTGAGTTTTTTTTTCCGGCCGGCCTTTTGGAGAGTCCCTAACAGAAATTGACAAACGCGGGTCGACAGCGCCGAGGACGCCTCGGGAGGGCCATGTTTTCCAGCACGATTTCAACTTCCCTCTGTTCCCCGGCCGTAATGGATGGGCGGCTGACTATTGTTTATATGGGTGGACGTTTGCGCCTCACGTTTCGGTGGCCATCTAGCTGGGTCGGCCCTCGGATTCCCCCGCTCCCCCTACTTTCCCAGAAGGATGGGCTGCGTTTCCCTATGTCAACCCCCCCCACACACACACACACACACTCCGGGCTTTAAAATGGGCCGGAACAACTCTTCGGGCCTTGCGTTGATTGAATGGAGACCCTTGGGGGGGAGGGGGGAGGTTGCTGATTGCCCTCCCGGCCCCATAATTCGACCGCAGGGACATCAGGTTGATATTTATTTCGTTTCGTCTGGTTTAAACAGTACCGCTGCAGAGTGGGGGAAGGGAGCCTCCGTGCTTTTTGGCCGTTTGCCTCGGCTAAAGCTGAGGGAGGGGAGCTACAGCCAAGGGGGCTGCTGAACTTGGACCCGAGGGGGGGAGGGGTGCCTTTTAAAGTGAAATAAGGGGTGGGGGAGGGGACATGAGCGCGGAAAATGGTGTCGCGGTTGTGTAACCCCAGCGTGGGGGAAGGGAGCCCCTGAATCAACCCTTGTCGCTGAGGCCGTTCCTGAAGTTTTCCCGCGGTGGCGTGGCCAATAAGCCCTCGGGGGCTTCCTAGCGAAAGAAAAGTGCTCGGCTGCGTTTCAGACTGCAGCCTTAAGACCTGTTGCGTGCTAAAAGTTCAGAAAGACGGAGAGCCCTCTTTATGAGGACCTCATTGGTTCATTCCTGCAAATGACTTCCGCACGTTGGCTTTTGTCTTCTTTCTCTTCCGTTTCCCACTCCCATGTTTTGTTTTGTCCCAGTGTCATTGTAGTCAGCCTATTTTAATTTGGGTTGGGTAGGGGGGAGTACACGTTATTCTTGCCTCTATGAACTCTTGGCCTACTTATTGACATAGTGGGTGAGTCATAGAAACAAAAAAGAATCACCTATCCTCCACTTTCTGCCAAGCTTGAGCTTGGCTCTAAAGCTGCATCAGGTAGTCCTTAGTTTAACATGTGTGCACATGTGTGATCTAGAAACTGCATGTGTGGGATATATTGGCATAGACTTAATTGTACATAAGCTTTATAAAGAAGTGTTTTTGATTTCAGGTGGCTTATGAAATGAAATATCTGATGAGAAAGGTTCACTATGGAAGTTTTAGTTCAATACTTTTCATGATTGTTTTTCCTCAAAGAAATAATAGAAATAGCAGGTTGTCAGTATTATACTTTTTACTTTGATTACTTATTAGTTGATTTTAAACTAGACAATTTCACAGAGTAAAGTTAAAGTTAATGCAATAAACCTTTCTTGCTACATCCCAACTTTTTGTCAACCCACATGGTATGAGGTCTGATTCAGAAAGCTTGTTTATAAAGTCCAGGAATATAATTAGAGTTTGCTTATTTTGTTACTTTTTCCAAAACAGCAAGTCTATTTCAGGTTGTTTACATGTTTGGTGATTCCCAATTGCTTTCTAGGTTCAGATGCTTGCAGATTATTTTGGGTCACTGCTATTCCTTGATGTGGATGACTGATCAAACTTCATCTAGTCAAACTATCATCACACCGTTTACATAGGCTCATATCTTGAAGAAGCAATACTTTAATTCATTTTAACTTTGAAGTTGTATGAATAAGGAGCTGACATGTTGCTGCCAGCAGTTTAAACTGATAAAGAATTTCCAATCTTTTCAAAATACTACAGTGTTCAGTAAATACTTAAGCAACATAATTAAGATACTGTTTAATTTTGAGTTCCAACACAACTCTTATTCAGATAAATATATTCTTCTCTAAAGGATATAAATCACTTCCCACAGAATGTCCAAAGAAGTCCAAAGCAGTAGGAGTCTTCTAACAAAAACAGAGAATTTTTGTCCCCATTAAAAAGCAACTAAGTATATTATGGCTTAACGTTTTCAGAAATTTCTTCTGAGAAAATGGACGGTTGTCTGTGAAAAACTATGTATAATCTTGTAGTCTAAGTGACACAGATTATTATTAAACCAGTGAATAAGTTCCAGTCAATTTGTTTTCAAGTGAACATTTCAAGTGAGCATGTGAATTGGATGCATGATCTCAAGTTATACTGTGTGTTGGTTGTGTGATACTTTTTGCTGAGTGGTAATTCTGATAGGTTGCTGAGTGATTCTGTAAGAATGAAATAAGTCTTAATTGAATATTTACAGTGCTGAATCTTTTTGGCTAAGTACAGTATTGTGGTAATTTTATATAAAATAGTATTTATTTAAATAACTTAGAGAATGAACTTTACCATAACAATAGATTACTGTTTCATCTTCAAAACTACTTGTCTATTTTCAGAAAGTAACTGAATATACGTATATGCAATATTGTTCCAAAAAAATCTGAAATGCCTTTATCAATATGGAAAAAGACTCAAACGAGACAGTTAATCAGTCATTCTTTGTTGCATCTTTGTAGGGGAAGTGGTAGAACATAGTTGGCAGTTAGACTGCCACCTGTTCAATGTAACACTGATGTTAATAAATAATAGGCTATTTTTATAAAAGAAGTATGGATATCAGCACTTCATTTAGGATTTGGATCCATTTTTATTCATACGATTCTTGTATTCATTTAATATCAAATATGGTGATATACATGCAACAAATTGCCAACTGACTATGTAGCAAATTGCCAATTGAATATAGAATATTTAATAAAATGTATGGTTATATGGTTTCATTTTTGTGAACAGAACTGTGGGAGACTTCCAATCCAGCGTAGCTTTTCTAGTAGTGGAGCAGAGAAAAAGAGGTGATTGGTATTTTTACATCTAGTACTAATGTTAGCTTGGAGTCTTACTCTGTACTTGGATACCTTCATTATTCATCTTCCTTATATGATTAAATTTAATAATACATTATAGTTGAATAGTGGTAGTTGAGCAGTAATTAATCAATTTGACAATGATATCCTGATCTGAAAAAATATTATCAGTCTGCATAAAACAGCATTACCAGCCAACTTCTATTTTTAAAGCAAATTTGTGTGATTCATATTAGTCTTCTGAGTAAAAGTCGCAGGAGAAACTATGGTTAATTTTCATTGGCAGATCATCTGAAAAATAATTTTTCCCTACTTCCCAGGTTTTGGCTAATCTCTAGAGTAGAGGTGGACAATTATGGCCTTTTATGGCCTGTGGACTTCAACTCTTAGAATTCCTGAGCATGGCTTTCTCAGGAATTCTGGGAGTTGAAGTCCACAGGTTGTAAAGTGGCTCACTTCTGCTCTACAGAATATTCTTTAATAGGTATTTTTCTCCTTTGCTCTGTACATAGGAGTTATTTTTTTAATATGAAAGGGGGCAAAAACTGTCTTCCACGGCTATTGGAGCAAACCATCCTTGCTGTCTGTAAGACATTTTGTTGGACTAATCCATATTCCTGAAATTCTGTCATTTTTGTTTGCATTCTTAAAATATATTCTGAATTGGAATATGGTAACAGGTCAGCCAATGGGAACTGTTTGGTGACTAAGAAACGGCACCTGTTGTGAGCCATGGGAGACAGCTCAGAGCCTGGCTTAGTTTACTGGTCTGTATATAAGAGTTAGTTTGTCCTTAGATCTTTGCTTCTGTGATTATGACTCTGTGTGTGTGTGTGTGTGTGTGTGTGTGTGTGTGTATGTATGTATACGGTGTTCACATGTTTCGCCTCTCCTGCAGGAGCTGCATTGGTTGCCAGTTTGCTTCTGGGTACAATTAAAGATGCTGGTTGTCACCTTTAAAGTCCTTCATGGCTTGGGACCGGGTTATCTGAGGGAATGTCTCTTGCCAGTCACAGCTACCTGTCCCATTAGAGCGGGGAGGCAGGGAATGTTGTGGGTCCCGTCCCTGAGGGAGATACACCTGGTGGGATCCAGAAGAAGGGCCTTCTCCATGGTGGCTCCCTCTCTGGAATATCATTCCCCCAGAGATTAGAATGGCCCCCAATCTAGCACTCTTTCGGAAGGCACTGAAGGCCTGGTTTTGCCAGTGGGCCTGGGGAACCCAGAGTGGGATGGAGCCCATCAAATAGCTAGTGTGTTCTGCTGTCATTGGGGCAGTGGGGGTGAGTGTTGGGGGTGATTTTTTATTTATTTTTATTTTTCCAGATTTTGTTCTTTTGTACTTTATTAATTTATTAGATTTTTTTGTTAATTTTTATTTTTATTTTTTGTTTTAAATATGGTTTTACATTGCATAAGCTGCCTTGAGTCACCATGGGCAAATAGGTGGCAATATAATACACACACACACGTGTGTGTATGTATGTACACACATATACATACACACACACACACACACACACACACACACACACACACTGCTATATCAGTCCCTCTCAGGCCAACTTACCTCATAGGATTGTTGTGAGTAAAATAGGAGGAGGAAGATATGTTGGATATGTTCACCATTTTTAGTTATTATTATAGTAAATATGGTAAATATAATAAAATAATAATAAAAATAATAAAAACAGGATATAAATGTTAATGTATAAAAGGAACCGCAGTATGGGATATGTTACCCTTTTAGTCTAGCATGGCAAATGCTATCTAATAAATTGTAACTGAAAGTAAAACACATGCGTAGTCCCCTAATTCATTTATTAGATTTATATCCTGGATTTAATTTAAGAGTTTAAGAGCTTAAGTCATATATAGCTTACCTTCCTCTATTTTCTCCAATAGCTCTGTAAAATAGATTGAGGGAGAGACAGGGTTTTGCCCAGAGTCCATCTAGTGAGCTTCTATCTTTGCAGCTCTACTGTACTTAAACCAGTATACTGGCTCTCAAGTCTTCAGCAACCAGTATTTCCAGGCAAATCTCCTATTCAAAAACTAACCAAATATGATTCTAC